CAGAATAACTTGGAGGTCTGAAGATTCGGATCTGTTAAAAATGTTGGTGGCTGATGAACATTTGAATCACGTTTGAGTGTTTAGTAGTACGCTTTTTAGATCTATTTTCAAGGGAAATGGAAAAATTAATAGCATAACAAATAAAATTATTTAAAAGTAATATAAGTGAAAATTATAACTTAGACCCTGGCAATGTAAATTTAATAATATTTAAGCATAACATTATGAACTTTACATCAAACTGATAATAACTGACTGTGGTAGGGAAAAAAACGAAAAAAAGTTTAAACTCACAGCAACATCAGTTCTCTCTGAGATCCATCTAGCCATCATTTCAGCTGAAAATGCAACTCTATAGGAAAGAGAGAGAGAGAGAGAGAGAGAGAGAGAGAGAGAAAGTGTATTTGTATCTATTTATATACAATTTTCACCATATAATTCGAATGAATGATTCAATTTGAAAACTTAACTTTTATTAAAATATACAAATAAAGACATGATAAAAAACAACTTCAGCAATAACTCTAATAATAATATAATTTGTAATAATAACATAATATAATATGTAATAATAATATAATATAATAATGTAATAAAAATATTACAAATTATTTTGATGATATCTGGGACATACTTGTTCAAATCAAATGTATCCTGTTTCTTTGGCTTTCCTCTGGCTGGATAATGAACAATCAATGGAACAGAATTGATATCTAACTGCGGTGAAGAAACTTATGTTAAATTTGTACATGCAACACCATTATAAATTATTGGAACATTATTAAGATGAAACTTTAATATAATAATCATGATGTATAATAATAATATTATAATTATAATAATATAAATAACATAATGAGCCACTACCATGGTGAATACATCAGAACTATCATCATAATCAACAAAAGCAAAGAACAGTTTGCTGGAAAACTGTTGGTTGTATCTCCAGGAGTTAGCAAGAATGTGAAACTCATCATTCACCTGCCTTATGTGTGGGTAGTCAGTTAGTTGGTTGATTACTTTCTTTTAATTCAAATCATTCAAAATCAAAATAAATTATAGCTTTAGAATTATTATTAAAATTTAGTTTAATACAATAAATTAATATAACTTTAGTTTAGTG